TTTTTTTTTTTTTTTAAATAAATAAACTACCCAACATCATTCCAACAAAAAATTGTTATTGAAAATGATAAATTTACTTAAGACAAAGTGAGCCTACGTTAATCATGATGACCTCTTTCAATTAAAGGAAAATTTGGAGGTGGTGTTATTTGGGCCGTGATGGAAAAGATAGTATTATTGGTCCACTAGTGTTACGATCCACAATGGTCTTATTTATCGGCCCACTAATTGTAACATGAAGCAACTACCACAAGCTGAACTGCAATTCCCATTTCCATGCAATTAGGGTTCTTACCAGCTGCGAGAATTGAGGTAATCTATGGTTTCTCATCTATGGTGCTCAGATTACCTTAGCCAAGGAAGTAAATCTGCGTTTAGGTACGCTAGTTGGATCTTATCCGTTCTTCCTGATTATTGTTCAGCTGTTTATATTTTTCCCTGTTTGTATGTTTTTGCATATGATCCATCTTCGTTCTGCAGGTTCTACGAATTTCTGTCAATGCAATGCTTAGTAGGTGATTGGGAGTAAAATGCAGCAAGTCGATCAAATGAAGGAGATGCCAAGTCTTGTGAATATGGAAAATATTATCGTTTCTGAAATTCATTTGACTAGTTAATTTATGCATGTTCTTAGGGGGTGATTGGATATGAATTCAACTAGTAAAAAACTAGTTTATTTTTAACTATAGTTAAGTTTGAAGAAAAGTAGTATGGTTAGTTGTTAGTAGATATATTAAAAGAATATTTAAATTAAAATAATTAAAGTTGATTTGATATAAAAGCAGGAGAAAATGATTGGAAGTGATGGTTAGTTAAAATTATGTGAGTGGATGAATAATGAATTAAAGTTGATGTGATGTGTAATAATGATTGGTTGATATTATTTAATTATACTGATAATATTGGAGATAGTGAGGTTGAGTTAAATTTGAGTTAAATTTGAATTTTGAGTGGGATATTTACTGTAGAAACTATAAACAATCACGCCCTTAACGTTTTATGCTCTGTCAGAATTTTTCCCCAGCTGAGGAAGCACGATCGGAGACTACCCGTGCCAGATGTATTGACCCTTACCTTTTCTTCTGTTAGTTTTAGATTTTATTGATGTCCTTGAAATTCATGTGTAACGAAATCCATTATTTCTTTGTCAGTTTCAAATGTGCTTAAAAGGAATGGGGAATTCATGGAGAAACTATCTAGGTACATTTTTATCTCCCCTCTTGCTTTTGGCTTGAATGTACATTGTTTAATGTTCCGTGTTAATGGGTATTGTTTGGTTTCTGTATATAAAATAATGCTTCAGAAGGTGTTAATATTTCTCAGGGATTCTGACAAGACTGTTTTTTAACAACTGCGTAGGAATTTGAAGCTGCTCAGGCTTTTCAAACACAAGGTAAATATTTGCTTGGACTTTTTGATTGATTCTTACATCTATCCATAATTTTTCCGGCTCATCTTATCTGTAAGTGCATATTGTTAAATTTGTTTTGTTTCTATCAGCACTTAATTATGGTTATGAAGTAGGATGCGGAACAGTCTATATTTGAGCTGCAAATGGAAAATGAATAGAAACTCATAACCTGTTGAGAATCTTCTCTTGCACTTAACTGATTAGCATCTTACCTTGCATACATGTAAAATGGCCTGACATAAGCTTTGTTGTATTTTCTATCTTTGCTCATTACCATTCCACTATCACTTGTGATTTTTTATTTCTTGGT